TTTGGTAAATTTCCTGACTGTATTATGCATCCCTGAATGTGAAGCTAATAAATGTCCAAAAAAAAAAAAAAAAAAAAAAAAAAAAACTCAATTCTGAATAAAACATTACAAAATGGTAAATTTATCTGAGATTCCTATTGTAGACATTTTTAAAAGTCTCATCCTTGACTCATTAATGAAGGATGAGTTTATACACAAACGTCAAAGTCCTAAAGGGTTCTTTAGTAGAAATAAGTATTGGTTAGCAGGTACTGCGCTAGTTGCTGGAGCTGCTTTGGGTCCATTTGCGCTTACTGGGATAGCAGCAGCGATAGGGTTTGGTGAAGCTGGTATTGTTGCTGGATCTATTGCGGCATGGATGATGTCATTACAAGGTGGAGCTGTCGCTGCGGGTAGCCTTGTAGCGATTTACAATCGGTTGGTGCAGCTGGTCTAGGTATTGGGGGATTTATTGCTGCTAGTACTGGAGGTGCTTATTTTGGTGCTGCAATTGCTAAAGCGATACTAATGATATCAGAATCGAATTCCGAAGAATTTGCAGAAATGGAAAATTTTGTTTCCATTTATGAAAGTGATGTCGACGAAAATGATGAAGAAAAAAATAATTTGCATAAAAAAATGATTTTTGACATGAAGCAACCGCTTCTCGATAGTAATGAGAATGAAAAATTAAAATCCTTTCTTAGAGGGTTTGACTTGGCTCGGCAAGTTTCCCAAGACAGAGCAAAGAAATTCGAATTTTTAGTTGATAGAGAAGAGGAAAAGTGTCTTGAAGGACCAAATTTTTTACATAAACATTTAATCGATACTTACGGAGATGATTGTGTTACTTCGGAAAAGAATAGTATTTTGTTGAAGTTGAATAATCCTTTGTAGTTAGTTTCATTATTATTTATTTATTTATTTTAAGAGATTTATATTTTTTAGTTTAACTATTGGAAATTTCCAGAAAAAAAAATTATAGATAAGAGCACAAACGAAACTGGATGTTCTTTTTTTCGTCCCAAATTTGTATTTGTATTTGTATTTGTTTTTCTAGTTATATTAGGAATGTATTATTACCCCCCCTTCCAAATATACTATCCCCCCCAAAAACATGACAATTATATTAATTTTTCCATTGATAATGAGGGTATTTCTAGCGAAATATACAGTATATCTACCCACGTATACTATGGAGACGCTTTAATTAAATATTATGCACTTTTAACAAGGCATCAACTTGGTAAATTTTTTTAATCAAATATTTTCTCAATTTGATATCCTATGAGAATAAAGAAATTTGAATGATTTCAGTTCAGAAGGAAGTAGGATTTTATATTACTTTCATCAATTTGCATAGTACAAATTTTTTATCCTTTAATAATTTTTAAGGAGTTAGGTTTAATAATCGAGTAGAAAATTTATTGATACAATAATTAAAAACCTTTTCTATTGCAGCAAGCAAAATATTATCTATGCTAAGTAATAATCGTATAAGATCTTTTATGTTTGTCCAGAAATTGATTTTATAATTTTTTTTTTTTAGCGTGAACATTTGCATGTCGTTGAGCATTCTGATAGTAAAATTTTATGGTTCCTTTCCAAGTGAAAAAAAAATGCTTTAGAAATATATAAATTTATTAGCATAAAAGAATCACACGTTGATTTCTTTCAATGCGCAGTAATATTACCGTTGTTTCGAAATTTATTAGTTTTGCAATCATATTTAAAAGTGTAAACACGTCGTCGCAATATGATTTTATACTCTTTGAATACTTTGAATAATAAAACATAATGATTGAAGGGTCTAAATTGATTTTATTTTCGATTAAGGAGTCATAAAGCATAAAGCTTTTACATAAGATAGGTTTGGATCTGATTAAAAAATGCACAGCCGTCTCGCGAGATGCAATAAAGGACCATAATCAAACCCAACCCACAAATCAGAACACCTCAGCAAGATGTAATTGACTTTACCTGACCATCGGGTTTTTCAATTGATCCGCCCTGACCGGAACTGAAATTTTTGAGAAAATGTTCTATCTTGAAAATATCATCCAGATTATTTATTGAAAGAAAGTTTGAAATACTATCGTTTGCTATTAATTTATGTACCCAAACTTTATACCTTCTTCACTATTATCACATCCGAAATCGATGAATACCTTAATAATTTATATGACTCGATCTCATTGCTAGTTTTAGTTTTTACGTATCGCTTCGTTTAACACTTTGACGTAACCGATTGTTTTAAATTTGTTGTGAAATCCATGCGATTTGTCAAAGATAGAAACATTGATGGCAGTGATTATATGGGCGGTTTACTATTTGATTTATTTGATTGTAATAGAAAGCGAACTATATAACCTCGAATGATTGAAACATTTATCAAATTCGAAATCATGTCTTATTATTTAAAATGCTTTTTCATATATTTTATTAGAAGATTAATGATTCCGAGAAAGTATGAAATAATGAAATTAATACAAATGTATGTAATCTTAATTAATAGATAAATAAATGATAAAATAATTATGGATCGCAAAAAATTTAATCCGATGAGATATAATTTATACAACTAGTAATTACTTGATAAGATTATTGGAATAAGGTTTGTTTAACGACGACCCTAGTAAATTTTTTACATTGTTAACGAAGTAACGAAGTCTAATCATTACTATCATAAGCTGATTTAAACGGAGTAAATCGTGTTGATCAATCATATTTGAAACCATTGAATTAATTTTTTTTTTTTATTAATTTTATTCATCATCTTCTATCAAAATTTTAAATTTTTTGATGATACCTAATTTATGATATTTTTCAATTATTCGCATATTTTCATTTTTCGTGTCTAAACTATTTGAACAATAACGATTATTATTAATAATGATCAGCGAAAGCGGTGTCCGATTCGTCCAATTTGATAAAAATGATTCCAGTTCCTTTGAAAGCAATTCTGATTGTACGTTTTCCGCGTAATAAATCTTTAATTCATAAAACATTTTGGGTGAACATTTTGCGATAAGTTCTAATAATTCACTTTCATTAAAAAAGTCATTTCCATTACCGCACCAAACTTTTAAACTTTCCAATTGTTGACAATTAATGAGAATTTCTTCCAATGTTGACAAATCATCTATTAAAGTAGAAAGGATCCTAAGGTTTGGGCAAAATTTGGCTATAGCTAAATTTGAATAGACGTTATCGTCACCAATGTCAAATTCTATTAGATTCTTTCCATTTCTCTCCAAGAATTTGATTAGGTACTCATGATTTGGGTAACCGTACGGAAATTTTAAAATTCGCAAATGCGGAAAATCAACGTGTTGCAACTCTTTAAAATCCCCAAATGTATCTAAATAATAAAATGATAAGAAAAGTTCTTGTAAATTTTTAAAATCAGCGATAAATGATAAAGGTCCATAATTCTCTCCCCCGTAAATTCGTAACTTGATCAAGGTTTTTGAGTGATTTGTCAACGAAGGTATGATCTCGGTCCATTGATTGTCAAAACTTGTTTGTATTATTATTAAGGTTAAATGTTTTAGATTATTTTGCAACGAGATTAAATCTATTAATCCATTTGAGATCTCACATTTGACTTTTATAGTTAGTGATTGGATGTTATGACACGATTGGGATAGTTGATAAAAGAATTCAGGATAAACGCCTGAACTACACTTTAATACTGAAAGATTTTTTAAACATTCTAACGATCCCGGAAAGTGTATAAAGGAAGCGTTTGAAAGATTTTCAATTGAATCACATTTCAATTCTTTTAAAGAAGGAATTTGTTTCATAAACATTTTTAATATTTCTTGTGATAACAAATATTTATGATATCTTAAGCCCCATGGTGTACTACATTGATTTTTAAGAACATATTGAATCATTCGATCAATTTCATGAATTGAGAGGACTCTACAGTATGATGCGTAATTTAACAATGAGGATTGCCTCGAAATGTAAATTCCATTTTTACGTAATAGTTCTTTTGATTCGTTAGGGAGACACGTGGTCAGAGTGTTGAGAAATTGGTGCAACTTGTGCGGTTTGCATTTATAACCCCATACGTTTCTCCACAAAATACGAACGGAAACCTGACACCAAAGATGATTAACTAGTAAGCATGAATGTAAGGTAGCTTTATCCTCCAAATTTTCAAAAATTTCATTTAAACAATCGGTAGAAAATTGACGGAGCATTTTTTTTTTTTTTTTTTTGCTTTTTTTTGTTTTTTTTAATCAAATTTGGTT